CACACACACACACACACACACACACACACACACACACACACACACACCCGGATGGCAGTGAGCTACCCTGCTAAGTGCTGCTCTGATCAGCAGCAGTTTGGCGTTCACTGGTCAAGTTTACATCCAAATTTAGTTAATTTAATTTCAGAAAATGGTGAAAATAAAAGATGGCTGAATGCTTGTTTCCATCCACTCCTGTTGTCTGGATGTGAGTTCACTGGTCGCTGTAGATAAACAGCCGGTGGAGCTAAATCTCCAGTTAAGCTGTAGATTGAAAAATCAGCTCGCTAAAATATATAAGCCGTCTGCTATCGACACGCCGAGGCCGAGGCACCCTTTAGTGTCAGTATGAAAAGCACTGAGCTTTCAATTAACTCCAATGTAAAGCCACCTGTGTTTATATGATGCTCTGGGAAATTGGTGTGGTATACGATGGATGGATGGATGAATGGATAGATGGATGAATGGATAGATGGATAGATAGATGAAGAGAGAGATGGATGAATGGATAGATGGATAGATAGATGAAGAGAGAGATGGATGAATGGATAGATGGATAGATAGATGGAGAGAGAGATGGATGAATGGATAGATGGATAGATAGATGAAGAGAGAGATGGATGAATGGATAGATGGATAGATAGATGGAGAGAGAGACGGATGGATGGCTGAGTCGTTAATTGATCAATTTTAAGTCCACCACGCTCTTTTCCTAAACAGAGTTGTTAAGTTGACTCAACCTGAATTCCTGTGAATTTTGAATTCATTAATAAAGTATTATGATACATATTTTAGTATTAATGTGAGTTAAATAATGATTTAGATTATTTTTCATTGTTGTTGGTATCGTTACTATTATTATTATCATTATTAATCATTTTGTTATTATTGTTATCACAATCAAAGAACCAGATATTTTCGAACACAGCTCGTCATCTTTTATTCTGATTTGCTCTTCATCCAAGACTCCGACCGTGAGTCACGTAACACTGTCTATGAATGGATGAATGGGAATCTATGACTCTGTGAACAAAGTGGTTTAAAACACTGAACGAATGTAGATGAGCGAATACATCAGCCTCCCGTCAGGCCTGTAGCACAGTAAACACCCCCCCCCCCCCCACACACACACACATCTAGCTGACATTAAGGTTGTTTTTGGCACTTCCTCTCAGGACGGGTTGTCTCTCTGACCTCCCCGTCCTCCTCCTTCCTCTCTCTCTCTTTTATTATTCCTCTGTTGTTTCTACTCGGCGATGCTGCGAGGCCCCCTTGAAAGACACCGTGTTTATTTACTCTGGCTCGCCTTGCTTTAGGTGCGGGCCAGGACTCTCTTTCAAGTCTGTATTTAATTTAGGGTGAAAGGGAGGCAGATAGAGAGGGAAAGAGAAATGTGGTGAAAAGAGAAAGAGAGAGAGAGTAAAAGAAAGAAGGCTGACAGGCGGAGGAGAGGGGACAGATTGGGCTTCCTCTCTTCAAAATGAAATACAAAGAGAATTTTCCTCAGGTCAAAAATAACAGCTTCTGTTTTAATATACTTTTCTCTCAGTGACTGAAGTTTGAACCCTCCTCAGCAGCTTCAGCTCTTATTCTATTACATGTTGCTCTTTATTATTTTGCCACGCCTTCACTTCACCTTTAAATCATTCTTACATTTGTATTTCAAAACTATTGTACTTTTACTTCACAGATGTGTGCTGATACATGCTAAGACATGCATCTTACTCACATGCATGAAGCATTATTCATGTGTGAGAGCATGCATGCGTGCGTTAGTGCAGGCGTGTTCACAGGTGTTTGTTTGCGTGTTTGGTGGGATGGCTGCGTCATGCGTACTGAAGAATATGCATTAATGCAATCAGACTGCCATCCCAGAATGAACTATCTCTGTGAGCAAAGTGTTGACTCCTGTCCGCTTCCCGCTCAGCCACTCAAATGTCCAATTGATTCGTTTCCATTGCACTTTGACGCACTTTGTGTTCATCGATGCACCGACTTCCAGAGCAACCTGCTGAGCCACAGCCGTCCTATCAAAACTATCGTCAAGCATCAACAAAAGACAACATCAACAAAAAAAGCACCAAACTTGTTATCTATGAAGTGTGCAGCAAACTCTCAGTGACATGAAGGAGAATGTGTCAGATTCAGATTCACCAAAGTCACAGAAAAATACAAACTAACTAACCGATTGGAAGGATCAGCATCTCCCCTGTTCTGCAAGGTTAAAAATGTGCTTTTGTCAACGGAGTCTGGTGGCTTTAAAGAGAGCGTAGATGGATATATCGGAACGAGACATTTATTCACTCAGTCTGTTTCTGCTTTAGTGTCCACAAAAACTGTGACACCTCAGACAGGAAGCAGTTCTTTATGCACAAATTGAAAATGTGCATCCAAACAGGTGCATGAAATTTAAAGATCTCAATGATTTAAATTCAAAGGTCATTGATGTCAGACAGAAGCAGCTCCTCATTTCCAGCCGCCATACGTCTATTCTTCCGGTGGCTACAACAGATTTCATCACAAGCTTTAAAGGACATATAAACGGGGAGAAGAGGAACGTTCTTATTATTACAATTCACAGAGAAGGTACAACCTGTTCTCAAACCCGATCTCTTGTTCCTCCTCGCTAATTTAAAGAGACTACCTCAGCGTTATTGAACAGATCCAACCATTGATCTTCATCCAGTCTTCTGATGTAAAAGCACATCCAATATTCAAAACTTTCAAACCGGATGCCACTTATCCAGGGCCGGAGATTGGAAGCAATTGTAGAAGAGGAGCACTTATGCTGCGTCGCAGGTCTATATGTAAAGTCAAAACAGCAAACTGCTTTCTATTCGGCTGAGCATGAAGATGAGGAGCTACATGTATGTAGCAGCAACGTGGCTGTGTCTACTTATCTAAAGTGGAAAGCAGTAATGGAACATGTGTGGATACAGTACATGCTTCTACATGTGACGTTCATGTGGAGTCAGGAAATAAGAAGCTGCTTTCATATTAAGCTTTTAAGCCTTTTTTTGTGTCTCTTGTGCCGAACAGATTATGTCAGGAAACCTTTGAGAAAAGACACTTCGACACAAAAGGCAAATCGTGATGTCATCGAGCTACCCGTCACGCTCATAGGAAGGTCCGTGTTTTGTTTTTACAAAGATGTATTGCTCCATAAGTGAGATATTGATGTTTACAGATGCTTTCAATGATTTCCACAGACTGCAGAATCTTTCATGAGGAAAGAGTGAAAAACTGCCCGAAATTCAGTTTTTGAGATAAAATTGTAAAATTTACCACAATACATCGACTATCGCATCCAAGGAGGAGGAGGAGGAGAACAGCTCAAAGAAGAAAAGGAGGAAGAAGAAGGAGGTGGAGGAGAAAGAAAAGGAGGAGAAGAAGATTGTCATGAAGAAGAGTCTCATAAGAGCTTATTCTCTCTCATCTTCTGTCGTTGAGGCTCAGTCTGGTTCGGTTTAATGAAAAGCGTGACCGCTTCTCATCCGCCCTCTTTGTGTCAAACACAGCAGGTTGATTGACAGCTGGGTTCTCAAAGAGATCGACTCTCATTCTGAAAGAGGAGCAGACTATTTAAAGGGACGGTCTATCTGGTGTCTGCCGTTGAGTAGCTCCATCCTTGATTCCCGCCATGACCAGACAACTGCCTCAGATCAATACTCGGGTTAATAGCTACCACGGGCAACACACAGACCTCTTGATATTAAATGTATTTGGTTTCTCAGTTGATATTTGGCTCATGTTTGCTTCAATACAGAAAAAAAACCAAAAGGAAGAAAGCTTCGGTCTCTTGTGGAAGATGGAGAGTTTTATTTGTTGTATGAATCTTTTTCTTTCTTTATCAATTTCTTAATTGATTCAGATCTGAGTGAAAGGAGATATGCTCTATTTAAAAAGAAAGTCATCCAGGAGCAGCTCTGCAGAGATGCTGGGGACCGATTCCTTCTGTGGTTCTTCTGCGTGTAATTATTTGGACTCCAGTAAACGGTGAGTGAGCAGTTCAACTGCCACTTTCATTCTAAATTAGCACGCTGGCACCTTTGCTAATTAGCTGATAGAAGTATCTCTCTGGAGGGGCGGATTTCTGCGACTCTGTCTCGTGCATCACAACTATAAAACCATGCAAATGATAGTCTGAATAGTAATGCAGGTAAAACATGCAAATAGCTCAAAGTGGAAATGTAATATTTACAAAAAGGGGCTAAATAGTTCAACACTAAGTGTATATTATATTAGCTATTACTACTTATTACTACGGAGGGTTTGAAGGGCCCAAACTAAATACAACTAAAAGTCATTATGTCCTTTCATTTTAAATGAGACGTTTCATTTGTGATTGATTGAAGAAGGCGTCTTCCTCCAGCAGCATGGGTCATGAAGCTGCACTCTTCTGTCTCCGTGTCAGTGTTGTATTAATGTGTACATTGGTGAAGCCCGTTAGAAGTTCTACGAAGATATTAAGGTTTTAAATGTTGCAAAGATTAAACACGTTGTACCAACTAGCCACTGTTGTGTAATGTTAAAGTGTTGTGGGGGGGGTCACGAGGAGGGTTAAAAAAGACATGAGGAACTTACTACTTATTACAGCTTGAAACATGAGGTCCAGCCTCCCTCACCACCGTTCTGCACAGTCCCGTTGGTTCAAGCAGCAGACGTGAAGGTTTGGTGAAGGTGTGTCTATTGTTACAGCAATCTTTCCCTCATCCGAACTAAAGTACTGCGAGTGTCTTAACACAACCATAAAAAGTCTAATCATGCTTTAGCTGCAACAGCTTGCAATACGTGTTAAATCTCATCTCTTAATTACGCTGATGAAAGACATAATCCAGACAGCATTATGCTCCCTTCACAATGTATTAGGCTACACAAATGATAAGTACCGTCACTCGCACGAAACATCCACCCTTCAGCTCGAGGCTGCCGGACTAGAAACAATAACATCACAATGCAAAATACTCGTATAATAACTGCATTTCATTTGCATCTTGGCCGGAGAATGAAACGTCTTCGAAGGCCGACTGCTCGCTCGTTAAGGAGCTCGGTCCTTTATTACGGGACATTTGAACAGAGGAGCAGGTTGATGGAGTTCCTCGGGCGGTTTATGTTCCAAAACAGTGAAGTGAATGGAAAGTATGTTTGGAAAGAGAACATCGTACCACCTGGCACACTCAGCCAGCGACTTAATGACCGACTTCAGAGAGCAGTCATTGTGTGCGATGGGCCAATAAAAGTCTTAATGATTGCTCCTTTAAGACCAAAGCTGTACATCATCTCACTTTACAGCACCTGTTCACAAACACACTTTCAAAAGAGGTTCCTTCACTGCTCAGTTGATTCTGTGTATCTTCAGTCAGCATTGCCTCCTCATGGTGAATCAGATTAATGCACTGCACAGTTCATACATATTTTAATAACATTATTGAAATTAACATTGTTTAAAGGGGAGTTGTTTTTAGGAATGGTGTTTAAACTAACATTGTTTAGAGTGTTGTTTTTGCTGTCCGGGGACAGAGGAAGTCATATGCTGTGCAGATTGTAAAGCCCTCTCAGGCCAAAAGATTTTTAATTGTCTTTACGGCTCTAGCCGCCCTCTCACTCTTCGGTGAATTATTCTCATAATATAACTGATAAAATACGTTTACAAATGAGCCTCCATGTTGGAACGGTTTGAAATTCGCGAGCAGACAGCCCACGACTAAAAGCATCGGTCTAGTCGGGTGCCTAATGACTGGTGACACGCCCATCAAGAGCCATTGTGGACACGTATCAATATAGATTATTCAATGATTGAACTGATCAGGGATCAGATAAAACGCTACAGTAGTTTCTGTACAATCGTATGTGTTGAAATCACTGGAGCGGCTTTAATGAGACAGATACCGACGGCTTGAAGCTCCTGTTATCACAGTCACAGACCCTGGAGGTTATTTACAGAGTACAAGAGGAGCAAAGATTACACAATGTGTCCTGGAGAGAACAGATTACACCTCTTCTACATGAATGACTCTCAGAGCTCCTCTCTCACAGACCGCTTCAATCTGTCTGCAATGTTTATCGGATGCATTTAAACTGCGCTTTTATAAATACAGAAGAATTAATTCATGTATTATCAGTCAGTAAAAGTAGCAATACCACAGCGAAGGAAATACTCAGTTACAAGTTCTACATTAAACAGTTTACCTGGGTACAAATACAAAAGTCTGAGCATCCTAATCTACTGCACCAGAGTATTGGATTATTATCACTGACAGATGAAAGTGTATATCACTAATGTTTAACCACCTTCTACATGGCCTCAGTCTATAATTTATTCATTAACTATATTTTTAATTAATAATCTGAGTCTGCAACATAACTAAAGCTTTCAAATAAGAGTGCAGTAGAAAGTACGATATTTAGCAGAAGTACGCGTCTAAATTAAACTACAATACTTGAGCGTGTATCTATAAACTATAAGCTGTGAGGTGGAGATGGGACTCTTCTTCTGCACTTCAACATAAGACGTTCAGGTGAGTGTCTAAAAAAACCAATGCAGGATTTTCAGTACAAGACACGAGTTGCATTGTGAGATCAAACAGTAACAACACATTAGAAAAAGAGAACAGAACTCCACACATGGCACGACGGAGAGCAGGGTTATGATGGAAAGATAAAAGCCCTTAAGACCGTCATACGGAGGCAATTTTACGAGACAATCAAGACACTTATAACCAGGAGTTTTTTTTACGATCAGCGTCAATTGGCTACTTTGGTAGATTTAGAATTGATTCCATCCGAAGCTGCTCTCGTCCTAAAGATTCACTGGCGTATCTCGGCCTTGGAGGACATATAAGTGCACTTTACGTCCTGCAGAAGGACAGGACCATCCGTCCCGCTCACCGTTGAAGCTGACGCTGCGGATGTACTTGAGTAGTTTCTTCCCTCCAGCCAGGTCCATCTCGGGGCAGATGCCGGAGTTCTCCGGACACAGGTCCCTCTGCATGTTGTGGAGGGCGTGGGCCATGGCGTATACGGCGTCGATCACGAACTGGACCTTACCCTCCTGCTCGTACTTGGAGTCGATGCTGATGCGCTCCTGACCTGAGAGAGACAGACGGAGACGACAGACAACGTAAGTGACCATCACATTGAAACACAATGGCAACCGTTTAATCCATGTTCCTCTCTGGATGAATTGCAATAACTTTTGCTTCATGACCAAATACGTCTAACTCCCATCAGCTCCAGCGGTACTTTGTACCCAACTACACATTCATTATAAGCAGGTTTTGACGTGAAGCTACAAACTGGATTGTTTCTGTAGGAAAATGAAGAAAATGTTCTGAAGTAATTATTTTCATTGTGTAATAATCTGCTGATTACATTCTTTGGTTTGTAAGAAATAGTGAAAATAGAGAAAATGTCGTCACAATTACCCAGAATACCTTTCACAAAGTTTGTTTAGTCCAACCAACACTCCAAACCTCGACATCTTCACTAACATTGTAAAAAGGAAAAGAAGTATAAATCTGGATCCATGAAACTTCTTTACATGAAACACAACCTCAAAAATAAGTTTCTAATTCATTTCCTCATCCGTAGATGTGAGTAGCCGAGTGGAGTCACCAAACAGTACGTGTTGGTGTTTCTTTCTGTTCTCTAGTTGAGTGTAAATGTTGCACACTCAGCTCATTTTACAGATAACAGCCGAGCGTTTCATTTTGTCGAATGGCTGACTCGCAGCATTAACGTTAATGAGCTACAGCTGATAGCATCAGTCAGCTAAAAGTGAGGAGACTTTGTCGTGCATATGAACCCGACTTCAAACAAAAACAGATTCTCTGTTTCTTACAAAAGTAAAAGACCTTAAACAGCCTTCCTGTTCACGCTGGACAAACTGTTTCAAATACTAAATCATACAAAGACATTTTATTGGAACGGACCACACGTCATGATCGATGGGAACCACTGGTTCAGCCTTTAGCAATGTATTTTATTTTGAAATCTTATCAAACTGTACTATCTTAATGCTGATTGTAGTGCTGGGCAGTCTGGTGAAACCGGTTCCTATATATTAAAAGCTCTTCTATGTGAGTGCTGTCCTCCCGAGAGCTTGTCTCAGCAGGGGAGACGAGCGAGTCCAAAGTGACGCGCTCCCAAACAGCAGCAGCTTCCATGTGGAGTCCGATAACAGGATTATGATGTCTGCTGTGTCAGTGTGACAATAAAAAGGGAGGAAATTCTTCTTTTATGAACTGCTGGCTGGACATGTGGTCCGTGCTGATATGATGGAGGGGCGCTCGCTGTTATAGGTTGTTTCAAATATCAGATATGTTTTGTTTAAACGGAAGTAATCAGTAATTGATTTGTTTCACCTCCTGCTGACTGTAGAAGTCAAACCTTCTAAAAGGAAAGAAGAACGTTTTCTCCAACACGAGGTAACAGCGTTTAATACGTCTCTTATGATGCTCTTTTCTTCTAGTCGAGACTCAATCATTCATCAGTTTCATGATTCAAACAAACTACATTTAAACAATGACAAATGCATTTTTTATGTCAAAAGAAATTGGCCAGCTAGCTTTGCTAATAGCCTCTTAACATTGCTAATAGCCTCTTAACATTGCTAACGGGCGGCGTACGTCCCTAACAACCTGAAGACTTCGCTATCAGCCTTCTGACAGCGCTAAAGGCCGGCTAACATCGCTAACAGAACTATCATCACCTCTTATTTCTTTCTCTCTCTTTTTGTGTTCACTTCCTCATTTTCAGTCGTTACTTAATAAATAGATTTTGCGTAGTCGACAGTGAGCAATGTGAACTTGCCCATGTGATTCCAACGTGTAACGGTTGATATATTGTATATACTGATTGTTTATTGGACCGGACCAACTAAAGAATGGGAGAAACAACAGAAGAATTAAAGAAATCAGGCAAATGGAAATAGAAAGGTTATTTCATGGCCTGCCAGTCCTGTCTGATCACTGCTTAAAGACGCCTGATTAAAGCAAGTACTCCTGATTTGGCGCCTCCAATACTAAAGCAGTAGCACAATGGTAAGAAATAGAAATCTTATAACAAGGATAAAAACTTCATCATCATGACAATATCTCCATTTGTGATCGAGCCCTTGATAATCTTTGCAAAAGATACGTAATAAAAATAAAAACAAAGAAGCTTCTGTGAGGATTAAGTTGCCTGATGGTGACGAGGAGAGAGATGCAATCACATTCAGACAATCACAGAGACAGTGGGGCGGATTGTAGCTCGGTGCATTTCCCTGCGACGCACAATCACTGAGTAATTGTTTTCATGGTGTTTTCATGAGACTGGTGGAAACGTTATGCAGACAAACAACTAAAGCAGTTTAAAAGGCAGCAGCTGCAGGGCCTCGGCTTTCAGAAGAAGTTTGGGTTCTTAAATAAAAGAAATAACAAAAAAGACTTTGAAGGACTTTGATATTTTGTTATTTTACAGTTTCTGCTGCAGGAATGAGTCACAAAAACCCAGAAAAGACTTTTTCTTTTTATGCCTGAGATCAGAAAATTTAAAGTAAGACGGATATTTGTACCACATAACAGTACAAATAATAATATTAATAAATGATTGCGCAGATACTGTAGGTGTGAAAGACACCAGTACTTTGCTTGATTACTTAAACAAGAAAGAAGTTACAAGATAATCCGACACATCTCCAACGGACTAATCAACAGAGCAGGCACCTGTAGAATCATTCATGCTGAGAATGAAGAGAATGAAGAAGACGAGGCAACGAGCAGCTGCATGCTTCTTTGTGTGACTACACGGTGGCGTGCAGGTGAGCAGCAGCAGCATCGCAGCAAATATATGAGTTCATTATGATTATGCGTGCGTGTGAAAGAGCAGCAGGTACTGCCGGGATTTCTTGATCCACCCCATTAACTTCCTTGTGTGTCTCTGCCCCTTTTTTTTTTTTTTTCCAATTGTCATTTGCTGTCATGCTCTTCATCGCTCCCTCTCTCCTCTCATGCAATCTCTCTCCATTGTGTCTCCTCCTCTTTCTCTCTCTTCAACACTTTTCTCTCCTACAGACGCACAGACGCACAGACGCACCGGCTTTCTATCATTAAACTAAATAAACATTCAGTTCAACCAGCTTTAAGTTATTTACATTATTAGCAGTTTCCACAAACAATCACTGAACCTGCAGATTTTTACTTTGAGGGTTTGGAAGCAGATTTATCAATGTCAATTAAAAATGTCACCCAATTATGATGTGATATGTAATGTATATGTTTAATAACTTATAATAAGAACAATATTTATAATAATAATAATGACATTTGCACTGATGATAATAATATCAACAATAAATAACATAATTCTCTTCAGCTTGTAATAGTCAGTGTCACACTGGACTGTGTGGAGCCAACAATGATGAGTCTCCACTGTGTGCGTCAGGATGAAGAAATTCATTAATAATGTAATCAAATTAAATATTAAAAAACACAATTACTTCTGAAACGCTCAAGGTGAATTGTGTAACACGTTCCCTCCTACACTCACGCAGACATCTTCGTCTTAGAGAGCTGAGCTCAACTATGAGTGGGACGTGTTTGTTTTATCATCAGCTGACATCGGGAACCTGGATCTTCTCTCCACAAAGAGTCAACAATTATATAAAAAGATATATTTCTTTAAGAAATCTCAAACACATTTTTATCAAAAATTCCTTGAGAAGTTTGGTCCCCCTCAGCTGCTTCCATACGCCATTCATAAGAGTTTCATGAATGCCAATCTGAAGGTCTTAAAGGGGAACTGCAGTATTTTCATCCATCCCTATTTCCCCATGTGTTCGTGTCTTACTGACTAATCGGGACGACAGATTTTGAGGTCGGTCCAGTATTGACTGACAGCGCTGCAGAAGACAGCTGCTCACAAGCTGCAATATAATCATATCGGAGCAATTTGTTACTGTCAATTTACGTTATAACATTATAGAAAGAGTCTCGCTCACTAAGAAGTCTCATTCTGGAATTTCATGAGGTGACATGTTGCTGGAATAAAAGCGAGGGCCAGTCGGGCAGAGTTTGTTGTGTTGGAGTACAGGAAGCAGCGAGTGTTCAATGTCATGGCTGGATGTTTAGATGACTTCAACAATGTGGTCTTTGACTCCAGGACTAGCAAGTTAACGACACACGTGATTAGCAGCTCACAATATTAGCCAGCTAACAACTAATGTGACGAGCTAGTTAACGACTCACGTGACTAGCTAGTTAACTAGCTAGTCACGTGAGTTGTTAACGACTCACGTGACTAGCGAGTTATCGATTCACGTGACTAGCTAGTTAACGAATCACATGACTAGTGAGTTATTGATTCACGTGACTAGTGAGTTAATGTCTCACGTGACTAGTGAGTTAACGTCTCACGTGACTAGTGAGTTAACGTCTCACGTGACTAGCGAGTTAACGACTCACGTGACTAGCGAGTTAACGACTCACGTGACTAGCGAGTTAACGACTCACGTGACTAGCGAGTTATCGACTCACGTGACTAGCTAGTTAACGACTCACGTGACTAGCTAGTTAACGACTCACGTGACTAGTGAGTTATCGATTCACGTGACTAGTGAGTTAATGTCTCTCGTGACTAGCGACTCTCGTGACTGGCGACTCTCGTGACTAGCGAGTTAACGATTCACGTGACTAGTGAGTTAACGACTCACGTGACTAGCTAGTTAACGACTCACGTGACTAGTGAGTTATCAATTCACGTGACTAGTGTCTCTCGTGACTGGCGACTCTCGTGACTAGTGAGTTAATATCTCTCGTGACTAGCGACTCTCGTGACTGGAGACTCACGTGACAAGTGAGAATAACAAAATGAGTCACGTGACCAACGACTTGACAAAATGAGTTAACGTTGACTTTTAGTTTCACACGGAACAACGACAGCATTCTCCTCGGTGAAAGTCCTGTTTTTGTTCTGATGACATAACAAGTGTTTCATTTTTACCAATTTACTTAAGATTTCATTGAGCTTTATTCTCCTTACAAAATGAATCAAAACAGTGACAACGAGGAACATCGTGAGTTGATAATTATGAAATATGAAACTTCTAA